AAAAAAAATATATATATATATATATATATATATATATATATATATATATATATATATATATATATATAACTAAGCGCTTATATAAATGCATGTTAACAAGTTCTATGCATGTGTGTAATGCATCAAATTAGCATATATAATGACATGCGCAATTATAATATGTAAGAATGCATGAGTAGAATAAAGGATCACTTAAACCAAAACGAAGACTCAAGTCAACTTAAAGAATATTTATAGTCCTAACTCTTATAAAATAGCACCGAAATGCTCTCGAGCGCCTTGGGCCTTTTTCCAAATATATATATATATATATATATATATATATATATATATATATAAAAGTTCAAATGCAATATATAAATTTTTTGGAAGCTTTATAACATAAACTAAAGTGAATTACAAGAGTCGAGGTTCAAAACACCCATAACCGCAAGTCACATAATATCATTCGAACCTACTCAAAGTCTAAAACTAGAGAATGAGATGCTAGAAATCGAAAAGACTGATTGGATCATTACTAAAAGTCTTAAAATGGTAACTAATCTTTTTATATATCAGATTGTACCTGAGCTATAAATTGAAAAATTAGAAAATACGTTGCTCCTACGAATATACAAAAGTTCATCATGGCAAAACATTACTGTTCCACCCTTTTTTGTGGCAGATCTTGTTGAGATTTTGTGCAATTGAGTACTATATGGAACATTTGTCTTAGTGCCATGGAGATTTAGATGCTCCTTTTGGAGATATCATTTGATAATAGATTAGCATTGCTATATGCGAGTCAAAGTTGGTGTTCACATATTTCCCTTTTACCAAAATAAGTTTCAATAATGGACAAGACACCATTAATTATTTTTCAAAATGATAGTTATACTGGTGTGCTTTTTACATCAATGTACTATGAGCATTGACTTGCAAATATACTTTTGATTCATTAGTATATACTCGACTGTCTATTTAGCAGATAGTTGTCCATATCGGAAAAGCGATATATGTGCTTTGAATCTCATTATTTTTCTATCTTTTTCATGTGAAGGGTGGGAAGTACCGAGTGGCGAAGCTAGGAATTTCTCCAAGGGTGCTCAAATTTAAAAGAAGTGGAAAAAAATTCCGACAAAGAGTGTTCAATATGTGTTGTATCCTTTTACAACGTAATATTTTACTTATATAAACAGTGCAATTAGGTGATCAAAATTATTACTTGTACCTTCAATGATATCATTCAGAAATTGCCTTTCAAGGTGCTTCCGAGGACCCACTTCTAAAGTTGTACAATAGTTGATATCTGCATGTACTAGATATTATTTTCTTTGGGTAAATAGTAGGGATAGGTAAAATACATATATTTCTCCCTACAGTTATTCCGAGAAGTCATTTACTCACCTAATTTTGCCGCTGACCCGTTGTCCCCTCCACTATTGTTGTTCTGAGTGGAATCGTGAAGCAAATAGCCCCTTAAATTTTTGGAGAAATTTTCATAAAGCACTATCTTTTAGTGGTAATTAGCTATTTATAGATATCATTTGCTATATTACAGTTTGTAGATACGTTTTTAGATGTTTTAAGATGTATTTGATGTATTTAGATTAATGTATTCTTGAATACATTAGAAAAAAGAGGCGTGAATCATGGAAATCCAGTTAATAAGATGTTGTATTCAACTGTATTCAAGAATTGAATCATTGAATACAGTAACGTATATTCCTTAAAAAAGGGACCTTTTAACTGATTAAAAACGGAAAGAAAATCAATCTAGCAAATAGTCTCCTAATATAACTCAACTAACACAATTATATCACCCATAATGTGTATTTCCCCCTCCATCAAAGATTTTCCATCCGAAAGTATCCAAAAATATAGCACTCTGTCGATTTTCAATTCTCCCTTCTTTCTTTTCATGTTCTTTTGTTACAGTTCGTAGAAATCAATTTTCAACCAAGAAAAATTGAGATTGCTACAATTGTATACAGAAATACGTTCAAATTCGATTTTGCGTATGGCAAGTTTAACAGTGTTATTGCGTCATTCTGGAAAGTCGAACAGTGAGAGTAACTACGTCGATTATTCGATTGAGGGAACACTGATAAAGGAGTATGCGTCGTATAATGATGTGGATGCGTCAATTTCTAAGCAACTGGACATAGATTTGAGCTCAACGACCATTAAAATTCATTACAAAGTAGAAGAAAATTGCACGCCGATGGAAATACACAATGATATGGGTTTTAGGGTGTATGTAGAGTTAAAAAAGAGAACAGAGAATTCGGGATGTATCCTTTGTGCATAACGACAATTGACAAAGAAGTTGTAGCCGGAGGTAGTTTAATTCAAGGCGACATTGTCCAAATGGAAGAAGCGGTTCAAAGGTATAATTTCGATACAGATGATAGCCTTGCCCTTGATGTTGTAAATTCAGGCGAACCAATTGGGGTGTTCGAACTGGACAAGGATTTGATAATTTCAAAAACAAATCAAAGGGAGATTATGGTTGGACAAGTATATAAGGATAAAGCTACATTGAAAGAGGTGATGGAGCATTACGCTATATCAGAAAGGTTTCAATTCCGGGTTGATAGGTCTAATGCAATCAGGTTCGAGTGTTCTTAAGTATTCAATATTTTTTTTTTTGTATATTGTATTTCTGGTTGGATTTGTAAAGCGTATGTAGGTGTATTTAGTTGTATTTGTGAAATTTTACTTGACCTATATTGTTGTGCGTTTTTATTTATTATGTATTAATAATACATGAATTATTGTCGAGCATTGTGCTAGTACAGAAGAATTGAATGTAAAATCAAACTGTTTGTATATGTATTTAGCTGTATTTGTGAATGGTTACTTGACCTTCACAGTTGTTCTTGTTTTATTTTTTATGTATTAATAATACATGTATTCTTGTGGATTACAATGGCTCTAACTGTTTTTTATTAAATGTATTAATTGTATTAAAATGTATGCTTATACATCTAGGTGTATTCAGCCATGTTTAAATGTATAACACTGTATATATTTGTGTTGTATACTACTCTATATGTATATATAGATGCAATAATATATTCAAACGTATATGAGTGTATTTTTTGTAAGTATTTATACTGATCATATGTTTAATTATAACTTCTTTGCAGCTATGCATTATTATGTATGTCTGAAGATTGTGAATGGAGGTTTAAAGCTTCTAGCATTAACAAATCACAATTATTCAAAGTGAGAGAGTTCAATGATAAGCATACATGTCCGTTGAAGGATAAGGTGTATGAGCAACGTCAGGCAAGTAGCAGCCTTATAGGTGGTATGATTAGGCCCAAGCTTACAAATCATAAGAGGAAATACACCCCAAAGGATATCATTGATGATGTGAAAACTGATTTAGGTGTCGATGTTAGTTACATGTTGGCATGGCGGGCTAAAGAAAAGGCAATGAATTTTTTGAGGGGTGAACCGGCTAATTCATACAATAAATTACCAGGATACTTGTATACAATGGATATGACATATCCTGGTTCGCACATTAGAATGGTAAAATCCCCACAAAATGAGTTCAAGTATGTGTATATATCCTTGTATGCCTTTATAAAGGGGTTCGATCAATGTAGACCCATTGTGGTTGTGGATGGAAGCCACTTAAAATCGTATTACACTGGGACTTTCGTCTCGGCCAGCACTTTGGATGGTGCAGGTGAGTATGTTGGTTATAATAAAATATTATAATATTACTGCACAGTAAATATTGAAATACATATTTATAGTATGTATGCAATTTTATTTACAGGTCATATACTTCCACTAGCATATGGTATTATTGATTCAGAGAACGATGCTGCTTGGACGTGGTTCTTTGAGCAATTCAAGAAAGCATATGGTGAGAGGGAAATCATGTGCATCGTTTCAGATAGGAACGAAAGTATCATCAAGTCTGTATCAAGAGTGTATCCAACTGTACCACATTTTGCTTGTATATGACATCTTTGGAACAACGTATATAAGAAATTCAAAAAGAGTCATTCAAAGTTGAGCGAGATATACTTCTCAATGGCAAAAGCGTACACACAAGCTGAGTTTGACAGTCTAATGGAGAAGGTGGAGAAGTTAGATATTAGGGTGAAGGAATACTTGGAGTTAGCTGGATATGAAAAGTGGGCTAGGTTGTATGCACCTGTCAAAAGGGGATGGACGATGACGTCAAATATTGCCGAGTCAATCAATGCCGCACTTGTGTCAGCAAGGGAATTGCCAATATACGACCTCCTCGAAGAAGTTAGGAAAATATTTGGACGTTGGAATTGCAGCAATCGGGAAATAAACTCTACAAACATACACAATGCTTGGTTGAATGAGGCAATGTCTACACGAATGACTGTAAGTTGCCTTTTATTTATGTATCTATTTCCTATATGTATCCATGGTACAAGGTATTTAACTGTATATATTTCAAGGTAGCAATGGAAGTTGTATCCTATGTTCAGTCAAGACTACTCTATAATATTCTGCCAGCATTCATGTAGTATGTATTCTAATATATTCAATGTATTTACATGTATATACATGTATGTCTTTGAATTCTGTATGTACAAATATAGTTGTATCTACTATAGTTGGATTTTAATTCAATATATATTGTGATTCTTAAAACTAAATAAAATTCTAATACTATATATGAATATCATATTTAATACGTCTATTCTTATATATATGTATGATTTGTTTTTTTAAATGTAGGTGGTGCCATCGACTGAATATTTGCATACGGTGAACGATGAAGGAAGGCATTACACAGTATGCCTTTTAGAGAAAAAATGCAGTTGTATAGGTTCCAAGTCGATGAATTACCGTGCCCACACGCTTGGGCTGTCCTGAAGAGCAAGTTTCAAATAGAAGATTATTGCTCTGATTATTACAAATCAAAGTCTGTTGTAATGACATAAAGGTGCCCGTGTATCCTTTGCCGGACCAGAAAGAATGGAATATATGCAGCAGATGAAGTTGTATTACCACGCAAATGGAAAAGACCTCCTGGAAGACCAAAGAAGAAGCGTGATAAGCCGTTCATTGAATTGCTGCAGAAGAAAAATCAACATTCGTGTAGCATATGTGGGCAGGAAGGACATAATAAGCGTACTTGTAGAAATGCTCCACGTAGAAATTAGTTCACAATCTGACTTGTATTAATGAAAAACAATTTGTTATAGATTCCGGTGTCATTTTGAATATATTTTGGATATACTTAGTTGGTGTATTAAATCTGAATACGTAATTATAATACAACCATTGTATCTTCATTATATATGAATATAGATGAATACAATCATTGAATACATATGATTACACTCAGTTATATACACAGAGTATGATTGTATCATAAACAGCACTGATGATTTTTTTGGAATACATATCGTATATCAGAGATTGAATATGATTTATGAATGTTAAATACATGTATTCAAATACACTTGAATACAGATTAATACAATCTGTTATACACGTATAGATGTCTTAATATGTATTGTACAAGGGTCTAAATAGACTTGAATACATATGCATATAAGTGAATACAAATGAATAAAATCAGTTATATACAGAACACATATTCAAAATACAGCTGAATACATATCAATACAATATATTATATAAATATGAAGGTCTAAATACACCTGCTGAAAATATGTGAACATAACCTGATGAATACATATAAATACAGCTTAATGTATATAGATAAATATATCATGTTGAATACTGACTGATACAATAAGATGAATACATATCAATACAACATGTTGCATACATACTAATACAAACTGATATAAACATACAAAAACCCAATAGGTTGAAGGACAAATTAATTCAGAAGCACAAAAACAATCAATACATCAATTGGATGCTTGAAATGATAATATATAAACAATGTTGATATGATCACTAAATTAACTTTTTTTTGCTAAACTAACACCATCTTTACCAACACATTGTCCAAGAAAAACAGTATTCACAAAAACTCCCATCAAAAACTACAATCACCTAAGACTACTCTAACATTATCTTCTCCGACTTATCAGAATCGGTGATGTGCCTAAGAATCATTGAAGGTGCTTCACTCTCGCTTACGGCATCAGCGTCCATCTTCCGCATAGCATAGTCCCAAAGGAGTGCACCATATTTTTGACGGAGTAAATTGGCATCAAATTTTATTTGTGGAACCAGTCCAACTGTGCTAAGAAATTCTGCGTATGCCATGACATGCACTCCACAATCCCTGAAAGAATACATCAAAACAGTTACAAACAATTCATATTATTAGAAAAATGATACAAGGAAAAGGATTAAACACATACATGCTACCAGGATTTTGTTGAGACAGATCTGAAATGAAAAAAACTTCAAAGGGATCAGTTGGTGCCTTGTCAGAGTATGCTGAGTCATGAGTCCAATCTATGCCTTGCTTAGCCGGAAAGCCTAAATGTGAAATTCTGTAAAAAATGCTAAAATTTGGTATTAAAATGAATAAGTTTGACTTTGGCCAACATTTTAGGTAAACGGACCCGGACCCGTGAGTTGACGGCCCCGGAGGGTCCGTAAAAAAATATGGGACTCGGGCGTATGCCCGGTATACAATTCCGAGGTTCCAAGCCCGAGAAATGAATTTTTTAGTAAAATTGTTTTTCTGAAATTTATTAAGGAAAATTTAAATGAAAATTGATTAGAACGTGTTGGTATCGGGCCCGTATTTTGGTTCCGGCGCCCGGTACAGGTCTTATATGTGCTTTAAGATATTTCTGTGAAGTTTGGTTGAAATCGGACGTCGTTTGACGTGCTTCGGACTTAAATCTCTAAATTTGAAAGTTTATGAAGTTTGAAGAAAAACTAGTGATTTTGAGGTTTGATTCATTATTTTTGATGTTATTTTGGCAATTTGATCGCACGGTCAAGTTCGTAGGATGTTGTTGAGTTAGTGTATGTGTTTTGTTAGGAGCCCCGAGGGCTCGGGAGTGTTTCGGAGGTGTTTTGGAGTGATTTCGGACTTAGAAAAGTAGTAGGTTTTTGGCTTCAGCTGTTGCAGACAATTCCTTCTTCGCGTTCGCGACACCTCCTTCGCGTTCGCGAAGCTCCTCATCTTCCTTCATCGCGTTCGCAGCTTTGGATTCGCGTTGGACTTAGTCTTCTTTCCTCTTCGCGTTCGCGTTTGCATTCTCGCGTTCGCGTAATTCCCAGAATCTCTTCATCGCGTCCGCGTGTAGTCCCACGCGTTCGCGTAGGCCAAATCCCTGGACCCCCCCAGCCTTTTGTCTTCGCGTTCGCATCCTTCACATCGCCAACGCGATGGTCTGTTGAGTCAACCCTTCGCGAATGCGACCTTGCTCCCGCGAACGCGAAGGGCAATTTTGCCCAATTATTTAAAATGTCCAAAATAGAACAGTGACGGGAATTTTTCATCAAACACACGAACTCCTTCTTCTCCAAGGTTCTAGGGCGACTTTTAGAGCATTTCTTCATCAAAGCTTTTGGGGTTAGTAAATCCAATCTCGTTTTCTTCATTTTCTATCAATATTTGTTGAATTCCTAAGCCTAAAACATGTAATTAGGGTAGAAATTGGGGGAATTGGGTAGAGTTAGGGCTTTTTATTTTTTCTTGGTTTAGACCATGTTTTGGGTTCGAATTTGAAAACAAATTATATATTCGGGATCGTGGGGGAGTCCTTATATTGCGATATGAATTTGGTCCGAACCTCGTGTTTTGACCAAGCGGGCCCGGGGTCAATTTTTGGAATTTTGGGAAGAAAGCTTGGAATCTATAATTAGGCGTTGGGTTTGATTTGTTTAGCATATATTGATACTATGGAATCATTATTGTATAGATTTGATTGAGTTGGAGCCGAATTCTAGAGGGAAAGCGGTTGTTGTGGATGATTCGGTCGTGAAAGTTGAGGTAAGTGTTTGGTCTAACCTTAGCTTGAGGGAATATGAGTTGNCGTATAATTAGGTATTGGGGTTTTGATTTGTTTTAGCATATATTGATACTATGGAATCATTATTTGATTAGATTTGATTGAGTTGGAGCCGAATTCTAGAGGGAAAGCGTTGTTGTGGATGATTCGGTCGTGAAAGTTGAGTAAGTGTTTGGTCTAACTTAGCTTGAGGGATATGAGTTGATTCTTGTTTGCTACTTGCTAATGTCGAGTACGGTGTATAGGCATGGTGAGGAGTATCTATACATTGTTGTCTAGCATGACCGTGAGTCCTTATATTGCGATTATCCTGATTTTGTTGTAACTTCCATGCTTATTTGATGATTTCAATGTGTTGTAAAGAGCATGTGAAAGAGATTATGATCATTAAACTTCGAGGGGCATTGGCTCGAGTTGTGATACGAATTGTGAAGTTATATGAGATGACTTGATTCTTGGAGCGTTGGCTCAAATTATAAAGTGAATTATAAAGTAAGAAATGAAAGAAGGAGGGAGTTATTGATATTGTCCCCTTGCCGGGATTTAACTGTTTTATTGAATTCCCTTGCCGGTATGTTCTACCACTATTTGTTTACTTCCTTGCCCCTTGTTTGTGACTGTTATTTGGGTGAGGTAGAGTGATAAAGTACGAAGGGTGATGCCGTGCATACAATGATATAGGGGGATCGGGTTGCACGCTGCAACAATGATATCTATGGGTCGGGTTGCACGCCGCAACAATGACATATATGGATCAGGTTGCACGCCGCAACAATGACATCTGTGGGTTGGGTTGCACGCCGCAACAATAACATATATGGATCGGATTGCACGCCTCAATAATGATATATATGGGTCGGGTTGCACGCCGCAACAATGACATATATGGATCGGGTTGCACGCCGCAACAGTGTTGTTATATATTAGGATGGGTTGCGCGCCGCAACAGTTGTTGATTCAAGTGTGTTTATTTTGGATATTCATTTCTTGGTTCGCTGTAAATTCTTGGGCTGCTTCTATCTTTATATTGAGGTTTCCTATTTGTAACTGTTGCCTCCCCACAGCATGTCCCCCTTCCTTATTTACTGTTTATTTCCTGTATTTCTTTCCGTTGTATATATATATATATTTGATCTGCACAGGTTTATCTGGTAGTCTGGTCCTACCCTCGTCACTACTTCGCCGAGGTTAGGCTAGGCACTTACCAGCACATGGGGTCGGTTGTGCTGATGCTACACTCTATGCTCTTTTGCACAGATCCAGGTTTTGGCCGGCAACACCAGTAGCGTGGGAGCAGGCTTTCAGCCCAGCGAGACACCGAGGTAGCCTTGCAAGCGTCCGCAGGCCCGACGTCTCCTCTATCCTTTATATTTGACTGTCATCTCATTGTATTCGAGACAAACAGAGATATTTCTTCCAGACATTGTATTTAGTATCCTTAGATGTTCATGAGCATTGTGACACCAGTCTTGGGTAGAGGCTTAAGTTGAATTGTTACCGCATTTTATTCAGTTTCCCTTTAATTTAAGACTTCCGCATATGTAGTTAAATCAGTTGCTTCTATTATAATGTTGTTAATTATTGAAAAGGATCATGTGTTTAATGAAGAGTAGTTAATGTTTGGCTTGCCTAGCTCCCAATAGTAGGCGCCATCACGACTCCCGAGGGTGGGAAATTTGGGTCGTGACAAGTTGGTATCAGAGCACTAGGTTACATAGGTCTCACAACTCACGGACAAACTTAGTAGAGTCTGAGGGATCGGTATGGAGACGTCTGTATTTATCCCTCAGAGGCTACAAAGTTAGGAAAACTTCACATATGTTCTTTCTTGTCGTGCGGTTCTGTTTCTCAAATACCGATTGAATTTCTACTCTGTTCTTCCGCAGATGGCGAGAACACGCGCTTCCTCATCTACCTCTCAGCAGTCCGAGTCCCCAGCAGCAGCCCCAGTGGCCGAGCCTTAAGTTGATTTTGAGGAGGAGGTTCCAGCCCCAACAGTCCCGGTGGGCCCAGCTCAGGTCCCAGAAGGGTTCATTGCCACCCCAGCTCTTCAGGACGCTCTAGTCCGATTGGTAGGCCTCATAGAGAGTGTCATTCGAGCGGGTTTACTTCTAGTAGCATCAGCCACTTCTCAGGCTGGAGGAGGGGCTCAGACTCCTGCTACACGCGCTCTAGAGCAGGTAGCTCCCCAGGTTCGGGTTCCAGTG